CCAGTGAGGGGGAGCTGCACACACACAACCACACACCATCTTGACACAGCTGCGCGTGGTCGCACGCATGTGGTCACGCACAATCACACAACTGCACACAACCATGAGCCCGAACGCAGCCACACTTGATCTCACACCTGCAGCCCCACACAATCACACATGCAAACACAAAACCCTCAGAAACACAAGCACAGGCAACCATGTGACTGCACACACCGTGACACAGTCACACACCCCGGGTCTGGGGCCGGGGCCTCAGGTGGCCCCCACCTGGGCACAGACTCACCCGAGGCTGCCACCTGCTTGTCAAATACCTTGTGCCTTGGCCATGACGCCCAAACCATGGATCTACATATGGGGGCGGCCCAGTTCTGGGAGCCTCTCAGAGCTCCGAGTGGACGCTGGGGGCAGGGGGTTGACCACAAACAGCTCTCTGAACCCTCCTGGACCTTGGGCCCCCGGAGCCGCCTTCCTCCGCTGCCTGGGGAGGCTGGCTTGGACCCCTGTGAGATGGAGAAGGGGGCTGGGGTCCCCCCACAGGGCTCTGCCCCCACCTCGGTGGGTTCCCCGGGATGTGAACACCCCTCTCCGGCCGCTGGCGGCTCCTGCTGGGTGACCCCCTGCAGCGCGCTGGCTCCGAGGGCGCCCACCCCAGGCAAACCACCAGCCCCCAAGCACAGGTTGGGGCCACACCTCCTCTCACTGTTACCCCAAATCGGTACATTCATTTCTTCTCAAGTAAACAAGCGCCGCCGGGGGAAGCGAGCGGCCCCTTAGCAAACACCTGGGGACCCGCCCTGCGGGGCTCCCCGCGCAGACCTGGGCGCGGTAATGGGTGGAAGCGGCGGTTTCCCGGGGCAGGGGAGGGTGGGCGCCCCGACTCCGCGCCTGCTGTCGCGTCTACACCGGCAGGGCACGTCTACACAGCAGGGCGCCTGCCGCGTCCACACCCCGCGCGTCTACACCACCCGGCCGCGCGCGCGCACCTCACCCGCCGCGGCCCCGGCCGCGTCCCCGCCACGCGAGGGGCACCCCGCGCCGGCCGCCACTCACCGCGCTCCCGAGGCTGCACCCCGCCGGCCTGCGGACCCGCGAGCGCCCGGGGGCGGGGCCGCGGCGCGGAGGGCGGCACCGAGGGGCGCGGCGGGGTCGGGGATCCGCCCGCCGGGAGAGGGTCGGGGCGCAGTCTTCCTCGCCTCGACGGGGGCCGCCGGGGTTGGGGCGACCCTGGGGGAGTGATGGGAGCGGGGGCCGTCGTGGGGGGCGGGGGCCGTCGTGGGGGGCGGGGGCGCCGCGCTCCCCTGGGCCTGGACGCGCTCTTCTCCCACCAGCGTCAGGGGCCGGGTGGCGGCCTCCCCCCCTACTGGGGTCACCCCACGGGGCCATCACATGGGGTGCTGCCTCCTTCCTCTCGCACCGGGGTCCGTGGGTTTGGGGCGAGCCTCCCTTCTCCCTCGGGGGTGACCCCAGCGCCCCCTTGCCCTCCCACGGGGATCGCCAGCCGGGGCAGGACCCTGCTCTGCCCCTACATCACCCCCAGGTGCGCCCCTTCCTCTGGGATCTGATGCTGCCCTGCCCAGTCGCCCGCAGCTCGGGGTCTCGGCGCTGACCCCCTGCGCGTGCTTGAGGCCAAGGCGTGGGGGCGCCGAGCGAGGGCACAGGGCGCTCCTGTGCCCGAGCCAGCGGGAGGTTGGCCCTGCCCCAGGGGCTGCTGTGGGTGGAGCCGAGGAGCAGGTGCGTGTCGGGGGAGGGCACTACTGAGCAGGGGAGCAGGGTGGGCGGGTGGCAGGGCAGGACCTGCCGGGTAGATCCCGCGGGGTGGAGCGAGTGCAGAAGGGCTGTGTGTGGACAAACACCTTTCAGGAAGTAAACCCTTAGAAGAGTTATGATTTACAACCTTGGGAAGATCATTCCAGAAGCCCCCAGGAACCCGCCCCCAGACCCCATTCCTGACCTCCAGCCTCAGCTTGATACACTGCGACAGGTCACCAACAGCCACCTCTGTTACTAGCCACCATCCATCCATGGCTTGCTCAGGCCTCCCTCTCTGCCCCAGGTCCCACCCCCCCATCTCAGCTGCCTCACACCCCGGCCTCTCCAGCTGAGTGGGTTTCTCAAATGGTCCTTGTTCTTGGTGCCAGGGCGGTGGTGGGGTGGGGGTGCTGGGCCTAGTTCTGTAGGACTCCCCACTCTTGGAGTTAGTCTAGCTGGGCAATCGGCTGGCACCGCCCGGCCCCTGCTCTGTGACTGGGTACTCCCTCGGAGCTGTCTCTGGAAGCAGTGCGCTCCTTGAGAATGGCCAGCTTTGCTCAAGATGCTTTTGAGATATTTTTGGAACTGCCTTCAGAGACCTCCCACTTACCACTGTAGGTGATACTGTCTTTCCTTCCTAGCACTAAAGTTCTTTTTTTTTTTAAGATTTATTTATTTATACAAGAGCTGGGGTACAGGCCAGAGGCGTGGGAGGGTGAGATGATTCACCAGAGACAGAGTGGGGAGCAGAACAGGCAGACGGACCGAAGACACTGCTGAGGGGATAGGTGGGTGAGACAGAAGAGGTCTGCCATGCCATGTGGGTATCTCCCCGGCCAGCTGGGAATCGAACCCATGCTTGCAGAGGCTGTGGACAGCTTCACAGCGTTGCGCTCAACCCGCTGCGCCACTGGGGAGGCCCAACTGACGTTCTTTCTTGGGAAGCCATGGGAGGCTGTGCCCAGAGGGAGGGGGAGAAACCCCAGGGTCCCAGCTGCCTGCAGAGACCCCGGTAGTCAGCACGTGCAGGGGCTCCACCAGGTTCTGGGATTCTCCTGGTGACCCTGCAGCTGTCACCTGCCCTGGCAGGAGAGACGGTTACAGGCCATGGCAGTGACATGCCCAAAACCATGGCCTCCAGCCCTGCTCCCTCCCACTGCCACACCCTGCCTTGCGCCAGGGCAGCCACTGAGGGAGGGGCCTGTGACCCCTGGGCCACCCTCTCCCAGAGCAGCCAGGGCCTTTGGACGACCTTGTCCTCCCTCTCCCTCCTCTCACCCACCCCCCGACACTGGGGACCAGCCATGGTGACCTCCCCACCGAGGCCAGAACAACCTCTTCTGTCCTCAGGCTGTGCTGAGTGATCTCTTGCAGGTAGCCTCTCAGCTGCCTGCGCCTCTGAGGTGGAGCTGACCCATGTCCTGCCATTCCTCACCAAGCTGAGCCACGTGCCCAGAGAGTGGGCACACGTGAGGCCTTGGACCTGAGCACATGCCAGGGGCCCAGCGGAGACTGAGCCACTGGTGGGTGGATGAATGAGTGAGCGAATCAACGAGTAAGTAGATGAGTGGATGAAAATGTTCTGGTTTGCTTTGTAAAAGAAACTCTGATCTGCTTAGGGACAGAGATCACTGTCTGGCCAGCACCACCCCACTCTGGGTAGACAAACAACCCCCACCGCTTCCTTCCATCGTCAAAGAAAAATTTGGAGCTCTTGCTGTCCCAGGGCACCCCAGCCCCACGGCCCTCCAGGGCCCTGCTCCCCGCACAAAGACGTGACCCACTGGGCGACATGGCCGGGGACAAAGGCCTTAGACCTCTGCTTGGTGCCACCAGGAGCCGCTGCACCGCCTGGTGGGGACATCACTTCAGTCTCACAGTGAACTTGAGCCCCTTGTCCAAGATTCAGAGGGGTGAAGAGGTGTCCACGGATGTGACCCCAGGGTTCTTGGCTGAGACCCTGCCCCCCCCGCCACGGTGGGTTGCCGAAGCGACTCCCCGCCAGGGCTGTGTGTGCTCAGCGCAATCCTCGACCACTGGAGACAGACGAAGGGCGCTCTGGTCCGGCTGGGTCGCCATGAAGCAACGCCCTCACGAGGAGGCCGGCGGGCTGCTTTCAGAAGGCCGCGAGGACTGCTGACGAGTAACATCAAATTTACAAACAACTGACTTCCACTGTTACAGAGCACCTGGCAGCGACTCAACTCTCTTCCTGAGTGGTTTAAACGAGGCATCCAGGCATCTGTCCGGAACTCCTCTGGGGGACTGGGTCTTTACCTCCTAATGTGGTTTGGGGTCTCCAGGGGTTGGGGTCTTTCTGCCCACTAAAGGGTGGTGCCAGCGAGCAGCCGGGTTTAGCGTAACCCACAGGAACGCGTCCGCGTCTCTGCTGCCATGCTCCTTGGGAGACCACTGGGACTGGTGATGGGGGGACACACGAACCCCAGACACCCAGCCAGCACGCACACATGATGGCGGGGTTCCCTCGGCTGCAGGCCCCCTCAGCTGCACGCAAGCCCTTCCTGTAGACCTGGGCGAAACACGAGGGCCCGCTGACCACATCTGGCTGGCGCTGCACAGCTGCCGGCTAAGAAAGGGCTTCGTATTTGAAAGTGGTGTAAAGCCATCAAAAGACTATCTCCAGGGCCTCCCCGGTGGCGCAGCGGGTTGAGTGCAGCGCTGTGAAGCTGTCCGCAGCCTCTGTAGCATGGGTTCGATCCCCAGGCAGCCAGGGAGATACCCGCATGGTGCGGCAGACCTTTCCTGCCTCACCCACTGCTCCCCTCAGCAGTGCTTTTGGTCAGCCTGCCTGTTCTGCTCCCCGCTCTGTCTCTGGTGAATCCTCTCACCCTGCCTCCTGGCCTGTACCCCGGTTCTTGTATGCATGAATAAATCCATTAAAATAAACCCGTATTTCAGGGTCCATCAAGATTTTTGGCCAGTCTTGCCTTTTTTGCCTGCCGCTTGTCTGTGATGCTTCTGGTCCCAACAGCAGAAGCGAGTACTCACGAGTGTCAGTGTGGCCCCAAGAGCCCCGGAGACGGGCCACGCTGTGGGGATCTTTCTCAACATCTTAAAAGTGATCAGATGAGGCGGGAGTGCCCACACACACTATCAGGGGAGTCACTTCTACCTTCCTTCCAACCCCACACTCCACGAGCCAGGACCCCACTCCGCGACCACCGGACGCCCCGCACGAGCCACAGCTGCCCGGCAGAACAAGCAAAAGTGGAGTCATGAATATCAAAAGCCCAGTTTAATTAAAAGAGCCCAAGAGAAGCAAGGCAAACCAACGGAAACTTCAGGAACTAACATCCACCTCTGAATTCCTTGGCATGTCAAGTTTCCAAAACAGAAGAGATCCCCCGTTTACACCAATGTATAAAATGGCTTAAGGCGCAGTCTAGCGGGCACGGGGTACGTGGTCCCTCACCCATCCTGTCCCCGGCCCCCGCCTCCGAGTCCACGTGGAGCTGGCAGGTCCAGCTGCAACCCTCCCAGGCCCCTCAGTTCTTTTAAGCAGCACATGAGAACAGGTGGCAGATGGCTTTTGTTTTTCTGGAATAAACGGCATCTCTCTCGAGAAGTGAGGCTACCAGAGGCTACTGCAAGTCTGTCTGGCGCTGGTATTTCTTGGAATGAACCAGGTTTGACCTGGTGCCTGAGGTCTAGGGCGGAGCGGAGAGCAGGGGCGACGGGAGGCAGCGTGGGGCAGGCCTGGGGTCTGTGCTTTCGGTCGGGGTGTCCTCCTGGGGCCCGGGGCTGCATGGAGGGGGAGCAGGTCCAGAGCATCACCCGGGGGCCAGCAGCCTCGGGTTCCCATGACACTGGCTTCAAAGAGCCACATGCAACAGGATGGAACCCACGGGGCGGAGGTGCTGGACATGGGGCCAATGGACCTTGGCCAGTTCTACCACGGCGTCGGTCACCAGGTGCAGAGCCCTGTTGGTGAGGTAGACGACAAAATGCCAGTTCTAGAATGTCTTCCCACGTTCCAGAAGCTCCTCGGAGTTTTACTAACGAGCGTGCTCGCCCACCAGTGTGGCAGAGGCGCGAGCTGCGTGCGCGAGATGGGTTACGGCGTGCGGGTGACGGAGGGGAAGGCGGAGGCCCTCCAAGCTGAAGGGCAAAACAGAGGCGCCGTCAAGGACTGCTGGGCCGCGTGACCCCGAGGCTCATCCACCAGCCTCAGGCCTACCCATTTCCGGAAGGGCAGCCCAAGAGGGTCATGGTCCAGGGGGTGACACAACTGAATCTCAAAATTTATTGTGAAGTTTGAGCACAGGCGCTGGTGCCCCGGGGTGGCGAGGCCCAGGTCCAGGCCCAGCTCATCCGCTCATCGCCCGCCTCCTACGCAGTCCAACAGCGGCCCCTCCGACCCCAGAGTCTTCCAGGGGATGCTCCAAGTCCTAGGCCGGGGCCCCAGTCGCAGCATCTGCCCAGCTGGTTGGGTGCACGGGCTGAGGCACCTGGGAAAGCGGAGCCTCTCCCACCCTGGACAAGACATCTGGGGGCCCTGCAGGGAAGCAGCAGCGCTGAAGCACCATGTGGGCGTGTCTGCGGCCTTGGCTTCTGGCCCTTTCCTAGGCACCACGAGGGCCCAACAAGGCAGACTGCAGAGCCCAGGGCCCGGCGTGCCAGGACAGTGACCTCGGCCAGCGGAGAGGCCACAGCAACCAGCTCGGAGCAGGGCCGGGAAGGGAGGGGCCACTGGGCTGGGGGGGTGGGGCCGGGAGAGGGGAAGAGGGGGAGAGGAAGGGAAAGGAGGCGGGCTGGAAGGGGAGAGGAGCAGGGTCAAGGACCTGGGTGAGCATCGGCCAGAGCAGAGCACCACGTTGGGGGAGGGGCCGAGCAGGTCCAGGCTTGGGTCTCCACCCTGCGCCCTCTCGGGTGCACAGCGCCAGGGGGCCGTCTGCGCCGCCCTCCTAGGCTGTGTCTGGCTGGCCCGAGGCTTCAGGGGTGCGGCTGCCAGGGCTCGCAGGCTCCCGGGTGGGTGCTTCAGTCCCTGATTCCGCAGGGGCAGACAGTTCTGGGGGCTGCTCTTCAGACACGGGGGACCTGACGAGCTCTTCACCTGGAGGCTGCTGGGAGGGGGGCGCGTCTGAGTCTTTGGGTAGTTGGGAGCCCTCGGCTGGGGTTGGTGCCCATGGAGACTGAGGTAGGTCCTTCTGCAAGAGAAGACAGGATGTCAGTAAGGGTGGGTTGAGGCCCAGAGCGCCCTGGTGGGGTCAGCAGAGACAAAACACCACGGGGAGGGCAGGGCCATCCAAAAAGGTCAAGCTCCAGGCCTAGGACAGCAGCAGGTGACTTTCTGGGGGGCTAGGACCCCACACAGACAGGATACAGGATTGAGACACGGGGACCAGTTAGAGATCCCAATGCAGCTTATCCCCAGCTTATCCCCTGCTCCTAATCCTTCTAGAATTAATCTACTACCTCTATGGCCCAAGGCAGCTTATTGGACCTCAGAGACCCTTTGAGGATGGCGGGCTCTGAGCGCCTGAGAGATCGTTACTGCCAAGCCCTTCCCTGCCCCGGAGCATCCTCCGTGTTAACTGCACTAGGGAACACAGCGACCCCCAGGTGGCGGCACTGCGGAGCAGCAAGGCTGTCACAGCGAGCCCTTCACAGGGACAACGCACACAGACGCCAGCTCCTCAGCCCCATCCCACGCCCCGAGTGCCGACTACCTTGGGAAGTACCCATGGGCCCCTGTGCAGGGGAGCCAATCAAAGTGTTACTGTTGCACTGGCAGAAAAGGGGGGATTCATACCCAAAGGAGTTAGCACCCCCCTCAAGTCATGCCCTTCACACCAGCCACTAGCACGTCCCCTCTGCTGGGATGGCTCAGAACCGCCAGGGCCACACAGACACAATGCCCAAAGCAAAATCTTCCGGAAACAGGGAAACACCGACCACGGGACATGGGTCACAGGGCTTAGTTGTAACACTAGGAGGTTTTACTCAACTTTAATTCTAGTTAGGGCTTATTAGGTTATTATTTCTTGCAGACAGTCATAGCAAACTGGTATTCACCGCAAAGCCGCTGCCCGTCCAGAACATGCCCAGCTCCCTGCGCCAGAGCGCCAGGGCAAAGCTGGTGATCAGCGTGCAGGGCACCAGATAGAGGAGGGCGGGCTGACCACGCTGCATGAGGGCCAGCGCCATGAAGGTCACCAGGAGGCCGATGCCATAGGCTGCGGGGACAGAAACAGAGGTGAAGGCGGGCTCCCAGCTGCCCAAGCCCATGCAAGCAGCCAGCCCAGAGCAGAGCCTCACCTGGGCCAGCGGGCACTGATGCCAACAGGCCTCAAGGGATGCTCTGGGTGTTCATGGGCTGAGCCAGCCACGGGGCCCCCAGGCCTATCACTTCACACCCCCACCCACCAGGACACCAGACTGGCCTCCTGCTGGGGGGTAACCAGGGTGCTGCTTATTTATTTCTCTCAAGAGCTGACCAGCATGGGGACGACCACTGTGGGTATTTTTAGAAATAACCTGGGATCAACAGCAAAGCACACTTCTGTGTAAACGGCCTTGGGAACAAAGAAACAAATGCAGGACAAGGGAAAACAACAACAAAAGCTAGGGAAATGAGGAAAGGGCTGTCACGTGAGCAGACTGAGCACCCCCCACCCCCACCCCACACAGACCCCAGGGACAGAGGCTGGAGGACAGGGGGCCAGGGCTGCAGAACCCCAGGCAGCACGGACTCGGGTACTCACCGATGGTGCAGGCCACGAAGTAGACCCTGGAAGACTGCACCTGGATGTCAAACCTGTGGCAGTAGGCCACCAGCAGCCCTGCGGAGCGAGGGAGTGTCAGACCAGGCCAGGGCCTGGGCCCCCGAGGGGTGTGCGGCCCCAGCCCCTGTGGGGAGGGACCAGGTGCAGTTACTGCCTCCCCTGTGGCTATGACTGGCATTCACAGACAGGCCTAGGGCAGCTCAGGACCCAGGGGAGTCCGAGACTGCAGGAGGAAGGAGCTAGGAGGGTGTCGCTGCAGGTGCACACGGGCCCGGGATGGCGAGGTCACAAGCCCCAAGCTTGCACCCCGTGGAGCCTTGACCCAAAGTGCGGGTGCCCCTGGCACCTATGTGAGACCATCTGATGATACACCAGCCACCACCTGGTCCCCCCCATCGGCTTCAACCCCACCGGCCAGCTCCTGCACCAACCGGCCGAGACCACCACAGGGGCACCGCCCGCCTCGGCGCCCAGCTCCATACCTGGGACCAGGATGTCACCAAAGCCCAGGAGGGAGAAGGGCCGGTCACACAGGGCCAGCGGCGAGGAGTTCAGTCGGGGCACCTTCAGGACCATGGGGAGCTGGGGAGAGCGAGGAGGTGAATGGAGGATCTGCTGAGCCCACTGTCGGGTCAGCACCTCGGCCACAGCCCAGTCAGTACCTTCTCGTGAGTGGCCGAGTCGGAGGGCCCGGTTGCCACCTCCACCATGATGCTGTTTCCGCTCTAACCGAAGGGAAACTGTGTCAGAAGGAGGGAACAGGGGCACAGGGCGTGGAAGAGCAGGGGTACGGGGGGGCCTAGGGCATGGGGTAGAGGGCAAGCAGCGGGGGCACCGGGCAGGGGCTGGGCCCACCTTGGTCAGAAAGGGTGTGATGAACACAAAGAAGACGTCGTAGATGAACAGCACCATCAGCAGCAGCGTGCAGGCCTGCGGAGGGGCATCCTGAGAGGCGGCCCCCATCCCACAGACCAGCCCTGCCCCGGGAGGGGGGGTGTGTCCACACCACCCCAGCCCAACCCCTCGGCTCACGAGGCCGGACTCCCTGTCTGAACGAACCCTCTACGAGGGGTCTGTCCAAACCAGCCCCTCCCTCCAGGCAGCAAGAGGACAACGAGGAGCAGGCCAGGGCTCGGGAGGGGCGCCTGGCTCCAGGCTCCTGAGTGACAGAGGGGAGCAGAGCCTTCGGCTACGGGTTGGGAGAGGTGGCAGCCCTGCGTGCTTCCATCTGTTGCAGGTATCCCCACTGGGGTGCACAGTGCCCTTGGCCGCAGCTGCGTGCACCTGCCTAGTTTCATCTAGTTTTTCTTCCCGTGTCACCTCGGCCAGCGGGAAGTGACTCCCCCACAGCAGCTGCCACCAGGGAGGAGACCCCAGGCTGGCTCTAGCCAGCATCCTCTCAGCCACTGGTCTCACGCTGCTGTCTCAGTGGGAGATACCTTTGCAGCTGAGCCGTAAAACCCTGGCACGAGGGAGGAGGCCTGGACAGGCGCACAAAGATCTAGCTGCAAAGATGCCGCTGTCGACAGAGGGTCGGGTGGAAACAGAAAGGCCCCAGGCTGAGCAGGGGCAGGTGAGGGGGCAGGCCAGGAGCTGCCCTTAGCCCTGCCCCCCCACATCTGTGGGCTCCCCTCCTCCTCCCCCGGGGAGTCTCACCTTGAAAGTGGGCAGGCGGATGGTTTTCAACGTGTAGAGACAGAAGGCAATGCCCAGCGCATCCTGGAGGATCCAGGCCCACCTGGAAGGCAGAGAAGTGTCTTGACAGGCAGGGGCTCCGTGAGGAGCCATCGCCGACGGGGGCCTCCTTCCTCAGCTACAAGCAGTTAGAGCTACCCTCCCCTCTGCTTCCCCAAAGACCCAGCGAAGGCCGAGGCGAGACTCCAAGACCTGTGTGGGAGCCCTCGAAGGATGGGCAGGGCGGCCATGGACGGAGGGGGAACTGACCCTTCTACCCTGATGCCTCAAGGCCAGAAGAGGTGGAGCGGAGGGGCTGTGCATCTATTACATTCAAACTTCTTTGCAAAAATACTTTTGAAATGAGTTAGAAAAGTGAAACTCCTGCTCAGCCAGGCCCCACGCTCTCAGGCCATAGGAACTTGGGGCGCAAAACTATCGGGCAGCCTGTGAGGACACAGCTCTGGAGCCCCCAGACAGTCCCAGGGACACAAAAGGAAAGGAGGGAAGAGAAGCGTGCACAGCCCCAGGCTGACCCAGCCGCAAAGGTCCAGCTTCCCGGAACAGTTGGGGGCGAGGGGGGGTCTGGGCCGTCTCTCCTGCCAGCGTGTCCCAGCTCACAGATTAAATGTCGCCGCCGAGGCCATGTGGAGGCGCCGCCAGAACAGAAAGTATTCGCCTCGTGTGGCCCCGCCGGGCTCCGCCTCAGCCTCCCCAGTGACTAGGCAGCTGCTTCCCTCAACTTGGACAACACCTCCTGGCCAGGCCGGGTGTGGGGAACAAAGAGGAGGTGCAGGTGGCTGGCGGGGATGGCGGGAACCCGGCCTGTTCTAACTGTACCCGCCGGAGCAAGTCTCCTGGCTGGGATCTAACTGCGACAGCGTATTCTCTTTATGTACAAAGGACTGCAAATATTTTCACATTTTCCTTCTGTCAGTTAAATCTGTTGGGGTTCCAAACTGTGGTGAAGCCAAGAGCATTTAAATGCCTTGTGGGAGGTGCAGGGAGCGCGCCAGATGGTGAGAGTGACAGCAGGCAGGCGGCTGGGTGGGAACAGCCCACGTCCCCAGGCCCCCCGCCAGGCTCCAGGCCACTATGGAGCCCCACGCCGCACTGGGTGCTACCTCAGGGGAGGCCAAGAGGAGGGAGAAGTGCCGCCTCCCTCCACTATCCCGTGCAGTAGCTGACACACCCATGCCCAGAGGGGGTGACCCTGTACCAGACACCCCCACCCCGGGCCACCCTGGAGGACACAGGCACCGGCCCAGGAGGGTTTCAGCCTCTCCTATCCAGATTCCAATCACAGTCCATGTGGCACCGGGACAAACCCAGCGACACTGATGCGGGCGGCAGGGAGGGCGGCCACGGCTCAGCGGGCGGCAGCGGGGAGGGCAGCGCCTGCCGCTGCTCCCAAGGGCTGACAGGAAGGCTTTTCATAACCGAGGCACTGGGCCGGCCCCAGGTGCTCAGGACAGCCTCAGGAGCACAGGGAGGTCACACCAGCCCTGGGGCAGTCTGAGGACAGCCCCAGGAGGGACGGTCCGCTGGCCTGGGCCGCCCTAGGGGTTGCACTCACTGGTCCTCGTTCCGGAAGACTCCCCACAGCACGCTGACAGCCACACAGAACAGCGCCAGGAGCAGCATGCGGACCTGCGGGCGCTTGTGGAAGTAGGGCAGGCCGTTGTTGGGGACCCTGGGGATGCAGGGGGGGGGGTGTGGGTGTCAGGGTGACTCTTAAGGCCTTGCCTCTTCTACCCAGCACCCAAAGAACACATGTCAGTTCCAGAGTCTCTTGGCCTCCCCAAGCCCTGACTCCAACAGACCTGCTCCCCAGCTCCCTACTGCCCTTCCCAGCTAGATGAGCGGGGCCACCCCCCGTGCTGCCACCTGGCCCAATCCTTCCTCTGCTCCACCTTTTCTGTTCAACTCACCATTACCTCACCTTTTATTGCATTTCTAGAAGAAAGGCTTCCAAGCACAGGGCAGAGCATGCGGGGCCTCAAGGTGCACCCAGAGGTGAGGGCACCTTGGACAGTCGCCCAGTCAGCCCTGCCCACAGAGCCCGAGAGGGCCCCCAGGAGCCTGCCAGAACCCTTGAGAACCCACGGTCAGGCACAGCGTCTCCTCTTCTACAGCCCAGCCTGCTCCAGGCCCACCCTCTCACCCCCAGACAGTGCCCTAACGTCTCAGACAGCGAGCTCTCTGAACACTCATGTGGTGTTGTCTGAACCCCGCAGCAGTTACCTATTCACCTGTAAGAAACAACCCCTCAACCAGGACCCTAACAGCAGGGAACTTCCGGGACTGGCCCCCCGTGTGTCCAGCCATGCAGTTCCACCTGGCTGGGGCGCCTTGAGCGGGTCTGGTTCAGAGCCCACACGCAAGCCCGTGTCCCCCACAGGCCTAGGGGGAGCGGGCGTCGGGGAGGGAGGCCGGCCCAAGGACCTGTGGCAGGAGGCCTGAGACCCACGACCCACTGCCCCACTCTGCCTTGCTCCTGAGGCCCATGCGTTCCCAGGCAGCACTGAGTGAGCACCTGCTGTATGCCCCAAGCTGTGTCAGAGGCCACGGGAGAGAAGGGGTCCTCAGCATCACTGAAGCAGAGACTCAGGAGGCAGCTGAGGGGAGGTTTCGGAGCAGGACCTCAGCCAGCAGAGTCAGGGAGAGAGACCAGGGAAGGGGCTAGGAAAGGCACCCCGGGGAGAGAGGGGGCTCACCGGCACGTGCAGAAGGGCAGCCTCTGGATGACGGGCGACAGGCAGCTGTACAGGCCAGTGGAGGAGGCCAGGCAGAAGATCCCAATGATGGCGTAGACTGTGGGCGGGTGGGGCAGTGAAGGGGCAGCTGCCAGGGTCCCCGCCCCACCAGAGGAGGAGCTCCGTGTGCTCGTTCACCTCAGAGGGGGACTTGTACCAAGGTAAGGGGAGGGACAGAGTGCGACCTTGTGGCAAGGGGACAATGGCTCCTGTTCCCCCACATCAGTGGGACTTCTCAAGTGGAATCTGAGAGCGAGCAGGTAGCTCAGTTCCCAGCAGACAGGGGGGTCTCCCGGGCTTGGCCTCAGTTTCCCAGAGAGGGCGTGGGCCGGGACCTCAGTTTCTCAGTGGGCAGGGATGAGGCCTCAGCGTCCCGGCCAGGCAGGGCAGGGCCTGAGCTGCCCAGCGGCAGGGCCTCCGCGGGGCGGGGTGCACGCACCGAGGTGGTCGTAGAAGTAGTAGAGCAGCACCAGCATGCAGCAGCACATGACCACGAAGACGCAGATCATGACGGGTGTCACGTCCACCGCCTCGTCCTCCTGCTTCTCGGGCCCGTCATCCCGCTTATGCTTCATGTACCTTCTTCAAGGACACGGACAGGTGAGGACGACGCCCGCCGCTGGCACACAGGCGGAGGGCCAGGCGATGGGCGAGGACCGGCAGGGATGGCCCACAGGGCTTGGGACAGGCCGGGGCCCCAGTCAGCGACCCCTGCTACTGGCTGCACCTGCCCGCCCAGCCTCTGCACCCCCAACAGTCTCGGAGTCCCCGCCACCACCCCGCAATGACGGTACCGCGGGCTGATCTAGGCCCTGACCCCCCAGTGCCAGAGCTGGGCCTCTGGACAGGCCTCCTGGGTGTCCCCAGGGGCCCTGGAGGCTGGCTGGGCGGGTGGGCGCCCTTCTCGCCACAGGCCTGTTACTTTCACATTTTCACTTCCCAGGGCTACCACCTGCCTGCCACCCAAGCACGCAGCACGCACGGGGCACTCACTTCTTCACGTCACGACTCCCAGCCCAGTAGCCCCCGAGGGCGACGGTGCCCACGGCCATGACAAAGATGATGATCATGTTGTAGTCCAGCATGGGCTCGCTGGGGGCGTACAGGGCCGCCTTCACGGCTCCACCGAAACTCTGCCTCGGAACACACGGAGCTCAAGGTCAAGCACCGTCCCTGCCCCTTCCCCCGAGACAGGACCCCAACCCGTGCAGCCGTGGCCGTGAGATCCTGAGGGGATACTCGCCCACATCTCAATGGCCGCTCCTGACCCCAAGGATATCAGCTCTGCTGGAACTAGCTTTGCCTGAAGGCAAGGCAAAAGGCCCTCACGAGTACCAGACGCAAGCCCTATACCCAGCTCATGCGAGCGCGGGCATGTGTGTGTGTGTGTGTGTGCAGGGGGTGGGGATGAGGATGAAACCATCCAGGAGGCAAGTGTGGTTCCAAGGGGAAGGAGGAGGTAAAGCCTGCTGCTGGAACTAGGAGTCACGGAGAGGGCAGTCTGGAAGTTTCCCAGTGAAGTTTGCCTGCTCCAAACCCACCACCCCCAATCAAAGATGAACAGGGGGCGTCTGAGCAGGTGGAGGGAGCAGCTGGAGGGGGAGTGCGGGGGGGGGGGGGGGAGACGCCGCTTCTGGAGGTGGCCAGGCCGAGCACACCCTGGAGCTGTCCAACGGGTCCTACTGCGCACTTCTGGGGTGACAGCACTTCCCAGCCGCCCCCTCTACCCCCCACCAAACCAGGCCGCTGACTCACACCCACCAGTCGGTGGTCAGCCAAGGTTAGGCAGCCTTGCCCACAGGCCCCGCCAACCGTCTGCTCAGCCTGGGCCCTGCCAAAGACTGGAGGGGGCAAGAGACCCTACCTTGAAAATGTCCAGCTTGTCCTTGTAACTGAGCAGGGCCACGGGAATGCCGATCTCATCATACTGCGTTTTGTTGCCCCCTGGGGGAACCTGGGGCCCAGGGCACAGAGAATCAGGGCTGCCACCCCTCCCTACAGTGATGCCGACACAGTCATCTCTCTGAGAGATTCCTGGGCATGTGTTGGGGTCCCTGGGTGCCAGGTAGTGGGGAGGAGACATGGCTGGAAGAGAAGCTCACCCTTCACTAAACTGTGGGGTAAAGTCCATTCGTTGCCAGTGGGTCCGAGAGGACCTGTTACGCCGGCCCCTCCCCCCTCTCCGTCCCCCAGGGCGGTCTCTGACCGGAAGGACTGCTCTAGGGCAGGCTCCCTCAGACCAGGGGCCAAAGGCAGTGCAGTCTCGGCCAGCAAAGAGGGGAGAAAACCAAACTCCTGACGCCTCCACTCCCGTGGCCACCCTCACCCGTGCCCGGGCTCCCTCCAGGGTGGGGCCCACGGGCTCTTCCTGCGTGGCGCAGGGGGAGCCCATGGGGTCGTACCAGTGCCTCCTTGCTGACGATGAGCAGCCCCCGGGCCCCGCTGCCCTGGGCCAGCCTCACTTTTTCGTAGAAGGTGCAGTTCCCCCGCGCCACCAGGGGCAGCTGGTTGCTGAAGCCCTTGGAGGGGAGGTCAGACGGGGAGCAGAGCATGGAGGCGGACCAGTCACGCAGCTTCAGGAGAGACTGAGGGCGGCGGCGATTACGGGGCGTCCCAGGAGCATCCAGGCCAGACCGAGCCCTCGCGGGAACCAAGCAGCGGAGCAGGCTCCAGGCTGCGCGGCCCGCATCACGCAGCCAGCACCCTCCCCAGGCCCCTTCCCCGAACACCCACTGCCTCTGAACCCTACCCACAGTGAAAGGACCAGGGGCACTCAGATGCACGCACATGCGCGCACGCACACACACACACACACACGCACGCACGCACACGCGCACACACTGTGAGCAGGGATGGGATGAGTGGGCAGGGATGAGCGCAAGGCCGCAGCACAGAGAGCAGCATGCATTACAGGTGACCCCTCGGAAGCCCTCCCTGTCTCCAGCACCTGCCTCCTGGGCCACTAGGAACAGAATGTGGGCAGGCAGGAGCCTCAGCCCCTGGTGCGAATCACCCACCCAGCCAGCAGATGGCCGAAGCCCACACGAGGGCCTCCTCGGTGCCCCAGGTGGACAGGCGAGCAGAGCAGAAAGCAGCACCCCTGGGTGGGTCAGGGGTGGGATAGGCCTGGTGCCCCACCACCGGCGCCCAGGACCCACCACGTCCTCTCGTTCCTCTTGGAACCCTCTGCCAGTCAGCCCCCTCCTGCACATCCTGCCAGGGCAGTCCCCAGACAGCTCCCCTGAACACCAATCCTTCAAGGCCCAGAGAGCCAGAGAGATTCCACACCCCTCTGGGGAGCTCCTCTAATGACCCTAATGGCCTCCTGAATGTGACTGGACCCCATCTCAGTTTTCCAGAAAGAAGCCCCACCCCCACCCCCAGCCAGCTCTGCACCCTGACTTGCTCTAGAAAACGAGGAGAGCAGCAGAGGGGCCGGAGCAAGGGGAGGGCGAAGTTCCCAGGTAAGGCGCCTCTTGGCACCGAAGCTGGCACCAGAGGGGACGCCGGCCAGCACTCACCGCTTTGCCGAGGTCGTGCGGCAGGTGGGCCCACTGCGGGTTGTAGAGGACACAGTAGTCTTTGCCTTTGGGGCCCCCCTTCTCAGAGACCACGTGCAGCATGCCGTAGTCACAGGCCACCTGCAGCAATGAGGCACGCGGGCTCAGCGCCGCGCGGGGCTTCCCTGAGCACCAGGCCCAGTGGTGGGTCCCCCCACGAGGGGCCACCTCTGCTACCACCGGTTTGGGGTGGTCCCCTCTCTGACAGGACAGGCGGGACACACCCTCGAGGCCACCGGGGAAGGAGGCCACTGTAGGAACAAGTGGGCCTCCAGGAGGCCCCTCGGGTGCTGGCCATGGTCCTGCCAGGACCCTCCCCGTGGCTCCCATGGCGGGGAGAGCCCTACAGGCTCTGCACAGCAGGGAGGGGTCACAGGAGTCAGCAGATCTTTCCCTGGACCCTGAGTGATCCCTTGAGGCTGAAACCACAGGGTGAGGCAGAGGGCCTGGGGGAGCTCCCCATATCCCAGCCGGTTAAGGTACCCACAGGCTCCAGGTGAACTGCCTACTGGTGACTAGCCAGCAAGGCCACCAGGCTCTGGTGGTTTCCTTGGGCCCGAGGCCAGCATCTCTCTTTCCAGTGGGGGGGGTTGGAGTCCAAGTAACATGTGCTCATGACAGCACAGGTCATGGGGAGCCTCAGGCCTGGCCAGGTAAGGGCTGACGGACAGACCCGTCCCACAGCTCGAGCTTCCTGGCCCACAAGGCCCAGGAGGAGGGACAAGAGCTGGCAGCTGGCATTCAACGCCTCCTTCCAGGTCCTGGGGGAAGCGGGTACTCACAGGCTGCACAGAGAGGCCTGTGCTGACCGAGTTTTGACAGGGCCAAGGACAAAGGCGTCTGCTGAACTTGGAGAGAGGGGAGGCCAGAGTCCCCAGACACCAACATCTCCCTGGGGTGGTCGAGGGCTGGGAAGGTAGGGGCTGACTCTCATCTTTTCCATGTGATGCTGAACAGCTTCCTCCATGTGAAAAATCATGGCTGTACCCGAAAGCGTGCCGCCGCCAGTCACCAGGGAACCCGGTCTGTTCACACTTTATGTCGGAGCAAGTGCTGCCACCTGCTCGTCACCTCATCTGCCTGGACCACAGCACCCCTCCCAGAGCGGCTGCTCCCACACTGTCTCCAGTCCCCAAAAGGAAAGCCTCCATCTCTCTGGAGGACACCCGTCACCAGAGGGCCCACAGAGGTAGGACCCAGGTCTTGGCTGCCCTGCCCCAGGCAGTCTGGCAGAGTCCAGTTCACTCCCGGGGCCTGTCACGCCTGCTGGGAGAGAAGCCCTCTCCCAGGGGCCAGGAGGCCTGTCACCAGCCAGGCCATGCCCACGGGCCCCAGGGCACTACCCCCAAGGCTTATTAGAGCTGGGGGGCCCAACTAGACACCAATTTACACTCAGCACACTTGGGGCTTCCTCTGTATTCATGCTCTTGTTGGGCTAAAAACACCTGGAGACAAACACGGAGACCACACTCCTGGGACCCTGAGACTCCGCCATGGAGACAAGGTGGCAGCTGACAATGGACATGTGACAGGGACAATGGCAGCAAGCACCGTGGGAACCAGAGGGGGGCCTCTGACTTGGCCGGGGGACCTCGTGAACCGTGGCCCCGCTCCAGGAGCTTTTCACCTGCGCCTAGTCACAGGCCCTAAAGCTTGGTGCAAACACAAGGCACCAGGCAAGACTCCCAACCACCCACCACCCGCCCCAGCTGGCCCACCTCCCTAGCACTTTGGTTTATCACCCAAGGGGGGAGCTGATGCCACATGGGCGGCTGGGCACAGCGGGTGAAGCAGCGCTTACGCCAAGGAAACTGAGTGCGCCGGCCCGCTGCGGAGGGGGCGGGAAGGACTGAGGCTGCCATGGCCCCTCCCCCACACCTCCACGCTCCTCCAAGACTTGACCCAAAGCAGGAGCCTGCTTCTGGGTTCTCCCTACCAGGCTGCTCCCCCAGGGCAGTCTGCAGACTGGCCCCAAGAACCGATGGGCCCTGCTGCTTCCAGCAGGTGAACAGGCCCCAGGGCACCTCCTCCGCCCACTGCAGGGGATTCCACTGCGGGGAATTTATGGTTCTCAACCCACAGCAGTGCCTGGCACACCCTCCCTCTGTAAATACAGTAAAAACAACTTTGTTGGGGCCTCCCCTGGTGGCGCAGGTGCTTGAGCGCAGTGCTGTGAAGCTGGCCACAGCCTCTGCAATGCAGGTTCAATCCCGGCCGGTCAGTGAGGGTCCCACATGGCGCAGAGACCTCTCCTGACTCGCCCGCTGCTCCCCTCAGCAGTGTATTTCGTCAGTCTGCCTGTTCTGTTCCTCACTCTGTCTCTGGTGAATCCTCTCACCCTCCCGCACATCTGGCCTGTACCCCGGATCTTGCATAAATAAATAAATCTTTAAAAAAAAAAAACTTTGTTGGAACACAGTCACCGCAGCCTCATGCGGGAGTGGGAAGGGGGTGCAGGGTGGGTACGCTGCCCCCCAGCAGAGTTGGGCAGTTGTATAGGTGACCGTGTGCCCACAAAGGGAGAAATTCTCCCTGTCTGGCCCTTGGCTGGTCCCTGTTCTGGGGACCCAGGTTTTGGTGTAAAGCGTCCTCCGTATAAAATCAACTGGTACAAGTGGTTTCCTCTTAAAAAGATCATTTAAGAGTCCCAAAGCACACCTCATGGATCACCCACCCCCAAATTTGCACAGCTGCTTTCTGTTAAGAGAAAAGCCAGTGCTTTTGCTCCAACACCAGAGAAAGTGGGCTGCCAAGGAGGGGCCACTTCTAACCTCTGCAACCACAAAGCAGTTCAGGGTCCTCTAAGGAAGCGTCACGTCACGATGACCAGAGAAGTACTCCACGGGGTGCAGGAGGGAGGGGTGGCAGAGACAGGTCCAGGCTGGGAGGACCCTTCCTCCTAAGACTTGGTGCGTTCCCGCAGAAAGTGGGGAACCAGGAAGCTTGGGAGATGGGGCGGCTGGTAGAGAAGGGCTGGGTACAGAAGCATGGGACATGGGAAAGGTAGAGGAGGGTGGGGGACAGGTGGAGGGACAGAGAACAGGAGCTGGGGTGAGGGCGGAAAGGCAGGGGACAGGCCGAGGGGGAGAGGTGAAGAGGGACCAAGTGGAGGAAGGGCAGGAGGCAGGTAGAAGGACGGGGCAGTTGTAGGGGGGCACTAACTTTAGCTCCGCTCTGCTAACAGCTTGCACACAAGGCTTTTGCTACACCTCTGTGGCAACCAGGGGAGGAGGATTTTTCGAGGTCAACTCCCTCGCCCAGAGTCACGAAATGGTAGTAAATGAATTCAGGGCTATCAGCAAGCAGCCTCCTGCCCAGTGGAGGGTTAGTTGTATTCTCCAGCACTGGGACTAGAAGCCAAATTTCTGGCAGAACCACACCCACCAAGGGGTGCCATTGCATCATGAGGCATATTCACGCCCAAGGTCTTGTCCTGGGAAGAGCAGGCCCATTGCTCTTTGCTCTCCAGTCACAGGCTGAAGTTCAAGATCCTTAGTCAGCCTAGAATAAAATCCAGATGTCCCAGCAACAAGAGCTATATGCACCTGACTACCTGTCCAGTGCAACCCTTGGACCCCAGCCAGGGAAGCCATATGCCCTTACCTCCTCCCACTGCTGCCCCTCCCTCCCAACTCTGATGGGAAGTCCCAGTCTCCCAGTATACCAGTGGGGTGACATCTTTCTCAGGGTGTAAGCATTGGACTGCCATACACACAGGCTACAGCCAATGCCTTACCAGCTCTCAGCCTTCGGCCCTGAGCCCTGTCCCCATCACCTGCAAAACTCTCTTTCTGCCTGGTAAACTCCTACATATCCTACAGAACATCCCTGGATGCCCGCTTTCAAAGTGCTCAGATGGTGAAGAAGGCAGCAAACAGGGCTGGGGGACAAAGAGAGGCTGGGGAAGCAGCTGGCTAGTAGGGGGTGATCCAGAGAGCTCCTGGGGGAAAGACCAGCTAAGCCAAGCAGGATGGCAGAGTATCCCAAGGCAACAGAGAAAACCAGGGAGCAGATTGCCGTCAACAAACCAGGGTTGGGCAGGAAAGGAAGCCCCCGAGCAGCCAGGTCTGAGGCCTCCCGAAAATGTGGAAGAGTCCCTGGAAGGTTCTCAACTGGATGCTACAAGACCTTGTCAAGAATGGATGTGGGGGACAAAAGAAGCCTCAGAGAGGACGCTGCCAATAGAGATACAGGAGAGCAGTGGTGGTCGGCTAGAGGGTCCGGATCAAGGGTAACAGCTGCGTTTGTAGTCTACTGGGGGACTCCATTCCCTAAGCTTGGGTTCCTCTGGAACCCAAGGAGAGGGAGAGGGAGAATTTGGAAATAAAAGAGATGCTTGAGAAAATGTACATCAGCCGTGTCCTGGCAGGCCCCCCTCTAGCACTAGAGAACTTACAGTTCAGTGACAAATCAGTAGCTCAACAACTTACACATCGTCTCTGAGTCCACGCTGCACTTACTCTCAACCCCTTAGGTAGACTGATGCTCAAAGCCGGGGAGTTCCCTCGCCCAAGGTCATGGAGCAAAAGCGGGAGGCGGATTCCAACACACAGGTCTGGCACAGGGTCTGCCCTGGGCACCTCACCACACCCCCGGGGGGTGGACGCCACGATCGCGCCAGGATCTCGGAAGGGGAAACTGAGGCCTGGAGAGGGAAAGCAACCTGGCCAAAGCAAGCGGGCCAGTCAGGGGCATCCCCGGCGGCGACTGGAGACCCGGACACGGATCAACAAGGGCCTAAGGAGGGACGGGGGACCCCCCCAAACTTCAGACTCGGGCGTAACTGAGTGATGCTGCGGGTGGGAAAGACTTCCAAGGCGGGAAAGGGGGTGGGTCCGAGCCAGGCCCGCAAGGTCAGGGGCCGGAGCCCGGGCCGGCGACCGCCCGCGCGGTGACAGCGAACTGACCCCGAAGGGGCCCCTCGGGCTGGGCCGGGCTCAGCGCGGGGAGCCGGGACGCAGGGGCCGAGACCGCCGCGACCAGCGAGGCCAGCGAGGCGAACGCACTCCTCACCTGGGCCACGAGGAGGAAGGCCCCCGCGAGCCGCGCCAGCGCAGCCGCCGCCGCCGCCATGTCGGCCGGTGCCCGCAGTAGCCGTCGGCAGCTGTTTCCCAGCAACGCTCCGGCGCACTCCTCTGCGCAGGCGCGGCTGGGCGGGGGTCATAGGGCGCGGCGGCGGCGCCTGCGCAGAGCGGCGCGGTGAGGCAAGATGGCGGTGAGCGTGCGGCGGGGCAGGCAGCTCGGGAGGCGCGGCGTGGGCTGAGCTCCCGGCCTCACTCGCTCTGGTTCCCCCGCAGGACAAAGAGAAGAAGAAGAAGGAGAGCATCTTGGACCTGTCCAAGTACATAGACAAGACGATCCGGGTGAAGTTTCAGGGAGGCCGCGAAGGTAAGCCCCTGCCTCTCGCGCCTCTTCCGAGCAGTTGGCGATGAGTAGCGGCCGCGGCCGCGGGGGGAACCGGTGCCCCGGCCCCGCGCTCGGACAGCGCGTCCCTTAGACAGCTCGTGCAGACGGCCGGGAGGTCGGAGCTGTGTCGCCCGTTTTGCTGCTGGGAAAACTGCACTGCACGTAGCAGGTGGGAAAATGAGGCACGGGAAGGAAACTAACCTTAACCCAAGTTACGGAGACGCAGCCGGGGTCGGGATTCACGATTCGGTCTCTTCTGTGTCTCCAGCTCCCGCACTTGCGGCGGCATCAGCTTTTCATTCATTCCCTGGCTTCCCTTCCTGCTCCCCGCTACAACGGGGTTCCTCAGACTCGGTGCTGTTGAATTGCCAAATTGTTCTGGGGTGTGGGCGTTATGTCCTGGAACTGAGGTGTTGAGCAGCATCCCCGGCCCCACTCGACGCCAGGAGTGCCCCAGTAGTGATGCCACAAATGTCCCCAGGCAGCGCCCATTGTCCCCTGGGGGGCAGAATTGCCCCGATTGAGAACCACAGCCCTACAATCGCCACTCAACGGCAAGAGGGACCTGTTAAAAACAAATTGAATCTCCTTGCTGCTGTTTAACTCTCTGCAGTTCTCCAGCCTTCCTGCCTAAAGAAAAAGCTTTTAGTACATCATAGTTAAGCGATTGGTATTCTCTTACCACAAGACTGAAAAATACGTTTTCCTTCTGCCTGGACTGCTCTTACTAGGTTTACTTATTACCAGGTTAATCCCCAGGGTCACTTTCCTGCTCTCACCTCAAGGCATATGCCCTGGGACACCTACATGACCCCTCCCCAGGGCAGCATTCTTTGGTTAAGCTTCTGGTAGCACCTGTCATAGTTTGCAGCTTTGTGCTCATTAGCATGGTGCTGAAATCTGCATCTGCCGCTGGACTCCAGGAGGAGAGCAAGTTCTCCTGTAGGAACCAGGCCAAATGCTCCTTGTTCATGTGGGCAGGGATGTCGAGTGGTAATGGCAGCAGCTCCACAGTCTAGTCCTCCAGGTTCCAATCCCAGTCAACCAGGGTTGGAGCCCCAATTCTTCCACCCACTGACCAAAGTCTTTGGGCAATTTGCTACCCTCTGTGAGCCTCACTGTCTTCAAATGGGGTAATAGCTCCATCTACCTCATGGGTGGTATTTAAAAGACGTGTGTGGCGTGTTCCAGGTACCTGAGCAACATTTCAGCTCATTTTACTCTTCAGTTGATTTCATAAGAAGCTTCTCAACGATACAAATATATTATCTCAAACTGTCAGAGTCCTTATACTCAAGGCTTTGCATGAGCTTGCAGTAAAGGAGTGTCCCTCGGGGCCTGTCATCTCAGGCTCGGGGTCCTTCTCCAACCCACTGGTTACTGGCCGAATTCAGTGGCTGGAAGACTAGGGTCCCTGTTTTCTGACTCCCCTTGATCAGAGACATTGTGGTCCGGGGTGCCTGTCACCACTGTCTACAGTGTGGTAGTTTGCTCCTCCAAGGCCAGCAGGAAGATCTCCCTCCTGCTTCAAATGTCTTCTTTCAGAAAGCATCCTACCCTTTAATGGCTCACTTGATCACATCTGCTCTCCCTTTCCATCAGCTGAAAGTCAGCCGGCTTGAGGACCTTCCCCTGCAAACTCCTTGGTCTTTGTCATAACCTAACCACTGGAGTGGCATCATATCACACTCCCGGGTCCCTTCTTGCTCTCAAGGCAGGGGCTGGGGGGCAGAATCACACCCATGTCCTCACAGGATGGGGGGATGTCATCTCTGTCTAAGAATCTGCAGTGCTGGGGTTCCACTGGGGGAGCAGGCCTGAAGGCTCAGGGCTTCAGCCTCCTGCCAAATGCCTCAGTGCATTTTTGCATCTGGCGTCCTCCATAATCCCATCATAATCTTCATTTTGCAGGGAAGGGACGAGGGAGAGGGAAACCACGGCGCCAGGGGCTGAAGCCCAGGCAGTCAGGTGGATGCCCACCCAGGATTAGAAGCAGATCTTTTTTCTGTGAAAGAGCAGACAGTGAAGGTTTTCAACACTGGAGGCCAGGCCAGATGGTGCCTGTCACAGCGCCGCGGCTCTGCCGTTGCACTGCGTGAAAGCAGCATGTAAACAGACGGCAGATAAACAAGTATCTGTGGCTGTGTGCCAGTAAAATTTTATTTACAAACAGCAGGCCACATTGGACCTGCAGGCTGTCGTTGTCAGGTCCCTGCCCTTCGCCACCCAGGGGCTGTTAGTCATGCCCAGCCCGGTCTCGGAGTGGGCAGTACAGCCGCGGGTGGTAATCCTACGGCGGGACCGGGGAGGCCCAGGAGATGAGAGGAGGAAAAGCCAGGTGGGAGGGTTCGCGTGTCTACACCACTGTCCCTGTGCGCCCGGTGAGCTAAGGATGAATTTCACAGTTTTTAAATAGTTGGAAGAAATCAGAAGAAAACTGTTTAGTGACCTGTGAGGGGGACGTGAGCCGGGGCTCCGGTGTCCACCTCAGGTCTCGCCGGTGTCGCCCGCTGCTTTTGCCCTAGGGCCGGGCAGGCATGGCGATACACGCCAGCCCGGCGGAAAACACGGGTCCTTTGCAGGGGGAGCCACCAGCACTGTGTGAAGGGGCGGTCTGGCCAGGTGTCAGTGCTGCCCTGAGGGCCCTTTCCTCGCTTCCCCCTCGGCCCCTCACCTGTCTCATTACCAGAAAGACTGCCCCCCGCGTCTGAGTCTGCCGGCGGGTGAGCCCCTCACATGAGGCGCACACTGTCCCCCGGTGCTGGCTTCCAGGTCAGGGGCACCGTCCCCCCAGGGCCCGTCTGTCTCACACGTCTCCGTTTCTCTCTTCTCGGTGATTTCTCCAAGCCAGTGGAATCCTGAAAGGGTTTGACCCCCTCCTCAACCTCGTGCTGGATGGCACCATCGAGTACATGAGAGGTGAGCGCACCTGGCAGGCGCGGGTGTCCTTGCCAGGCCTTCTTACCCGCCGACCCCCACCAGCCCTCCAGGGGCAGCGGACGCCTCCTGGACCCGGGGTTGTTGAGCGTGATTGCTCTGCGGGCCTGGCCAGCTGACTGGACTATCTGGGAGACCTGACAGACGTGGAAGCCTTGCCGGCTGCCTTGCGTGGTGCTCCTGCCAAGGCCGAAAGTGTGCTTGGCATGGTTGGAGGCGCCAGTGCGCTTTGGGCTCTGTTCAGCCCCTTGTTTCCTCTGCCCTGCTGTGTTCCCCTGCTGCTGACAAAGGCGTCCAGTTTCCCTTATTCTCCACCCTTGATCCCTGTCCCCCAAGTCCCCGGATCCGCCACAGCAGCCCACAGTGGTCAGGCCAGCCCAGTCTATCAGCCACAGGTTCTCAGCCCAGCCTAACTGAGGCATTAAGAGAATGCCAAGGGCGGGTTAGGGGGCAGGGCCGGGGCCTTGCCCCTCAAGATAATGTCAGTGTCTTAAGACCAGAGTTATGCTGTGAAAAGGGAGTGCAGCCGCACAGGACTGTCCTGGGGCCACCAGGAAAGGCCCGCAGGGGAGAAGCATGGTCCTGGCTGAGTTGGCAACACTGAGGCCTCCCAATCCTCCTCATTCTCTCTCGCCCCTTCTCCACCCCCCTCAAGCCTGCCTGTGCCGGGGTCCTGGCTCTGCCTCCGTGGGCAGACCATTCTCTTTGTCGTGGGGCCTTGGGAACTGCCAAGCATTTGTATGTGCAGCCAGGCAGCCCTGGGGATGTTGGAGCCTGGAACCTTCTGCGGGGTCCAGGGGAGGAGGTGGGAGGGTTCGACCCAGGAGAGCTGGTCTTGTAGGCGCTCGGTGAGCCAGAGTGGGTCTCTGGCTGCCGCCCTTCCGGTCACGTCCTGCCGGTAATGAAGCCTTGCGTTGCTCTCACCTCAGAAGAGCTTTCCTCTCGCTGCCACTTCCCGGTCCCTCCTGCCCTGCTGTCGGCAGCCCAGACACAGGCCTGAGCGGTCATCCTACAGGGCTTCTCGGACTTTGCAGAAGCCAGGGGTCCAGGTGGATCTGTATTCAGGTCACCTGAGCGATAGCGCACTCCCAGGGCCCCGGGGAGTGGGGACGGTGCTCCCAATTAGTGACTGGGCGTAGCCCACCCTCCCCTGGGCCTCCGCGCTCTCATTTGTAGAACGAGGGCAGGTGCCTCCGGTGGTTTCCGGAACTCTTCCTGGTCCCAACTATCTGTGGTTCATCCCGGGGAGAAAGGCTGCGAGTCTGGACTTGGGGTGCAGGGAGGGGCTTGGCCCTCCTGCCCTCAGAGGTGCAGGTGGAGGGGTCATCAAAAGGCCTTTGGATTCAGGTCTCTAGAGCCCCTCAGCCCCTCTGAGGCAGCACCACCTCCCCACCCTCTTCCTCTGCAGACCCCGACGACCAGTACAAGCTCACAGAGGACACCCGGCAGCTGGGCCTGGTGGTGTGCAGGGGCACCTCGGTGGTGCTCATCTGCCCCCAGGACGGCATGGAGGCCATCCCCAACCCCTTCATCCAGCAGCAGGACACCTAGCGGCGTGGCTGGGCGCACACAGGACATGGCAGCACCCACAGGAACGGAACTTTCTTTTTGTATAAGTCACATTTTTGTTTTCTTAATAAAATTGCAAACTTCAAGTATCCTAGAGCCTGGGGTCTTGCTCCCAGCCATGGTTTTCTGGCCAAACCTGGGTCCAGGAGTTTGGTTCTGCCCACCGGTTTACCGGGCACGGGTGGGGTGCATGCTGGAACTCGGGGATGACCCTGGCGTGCACCATGTGGACCCGGCGCCCTGAGGGTCTCTGCTGAGCTGCCTGAAGAGCCACACAGATGCAGCCCTATGGCCCTGGGGCCTGCGGCCTGGAGGGAGCCTAGGCCCTGCCAAGTCCCGGGGGCCCTGCTTCTGCATCCTCCCCACATGCCTCCTGGGGTCCGGGGTGGTCCCCTCAACCTGGGCGTTCTGGAAATGTCTCCGCTTACGGCTGCATCCTCACAAAGGACTCAGCCTGCGCCAGGACACCCACCCCTCGCGCGACAGGGTCAGACTCGTCATTCTCAACGCCCCTGAGGGCCGCTCCCTGGAGAGGCAGCTTTCTCCTCTCAGGACTGCGTTCCCCTCAGGGCCGTCCCTACTCAGAGCAGGGTCGTGTCTGTCCTATTTGTCACTTGAGAGGGAGGATGAGAGTGAGTTGAGGGGTCCTGGCAGGTCCCGGCGGGTTCGCTTAGAGCTGGAGACACAGGCAGTGCGGGGTCCTGGGCACTCCAGAAGCTGGCACGACAGGACTGGAGCTCAGCTCGGGGCTAGAAGGACTTGAATGCCACCTGTTCCTCCTTGTGGCCAAGTACACGAAGCAGCCGGCTTCTGGCTTATCACAGGCATCCGGGCCCTGCTGTGGCCCCAGGCAGCAGGAGCCTCTGCTGTCAGGAGTTAGCGCCAGAGCCAACCTGCAGGCTCCTCGCCGCCACCCCCTCCCGACTCCCCTGCCATCTGTTCCAGCCCTGCCTCCACCAACTCCTTTATCAGCAGCCAAAACTCCAGCCGCTGGACGAGGTAGGAATGGGCCTCCCTTTAGGGCAGGATTCCCTCATGCCTGTCTGACGGGGGCCTAGGATGTGGTGGGGGATGGTCTGCCCACCTGGCACACATAACTGTCCTAAGGCCAGGAAATAAAGGCTGAGACCCGAGACCGAGGGCTGGGGAGTTGAGACGTCGTTACAGCTCCCAGGGTGGCGGGGGCCAGAACACGGCATCTGGCCCTAAGCCCCCAGCTGCTCTCAACACAGGTTCCTGGCACCCCCTACCTGGCCATCACACTGCCACAGCGGCCCCGAGCTCCAGACCACTCCCTGCTCACCTCCCAGCTAACTGCTAGGGTGCAGGCTGCAGCCTCAGAGTCCTGGGCTCACATCGCCTCCCTGGACCCACTGTGTGCCCCAGAGGAACAGTCCAGCCTCTGGGGTCCCGCTCCTTCCCCCTTCAATTCAAGCCAAAGCATTGCCAGCCGGACCCCAGTCGTATGGGGGATCAGTTAAGAGCGCAAAGCTTTGCATCCAAACCTAAAGAAGACACCAGAGAGCTGTGGGCACCAAAGGAGGAGACACCCTGCCTTCCTAGGGACCCGGGCAGAACCCATCGGCAAGGTGGATGGAATGGGCCCCTCCCCCTTAGCCACAATTGCCCTGGAGACTCACTTGACCTAGTTTTTAAGAGACTGGAAATAACCTACCTGCCCATCATCAGGGGATCCAGATAGACTGGGGCTCCTGCCAAGCATGAAGCAACAAAGAGGTGGCCCTCTGCACAAGGGAGGGAGACCGCCGCAGGCGCAGGCAAGACGGAGTCTATTTTCCCTCTCCCTTGAAGTCTGGGGCTTGCTTTGATGACAACACTGTGACAGTAGTGATGTGGGAGTTCAGAGCCCAGTTCTCGGAGGGGCCTCCTGGCCGTGAGAACTCTGCCCCGGGGCGGCCGGGACGTCAGAAGCTGTCCCGGCTCCCTAGCAGCTGAGAAGCGGCTGGAGGAGCCCTCGGCCAGCACGGCTGTGCTTGCGGGGGTCTCAACTCCCAGCCCTGTTGACCCCGCCTGGGTCTGAGGCGCCTGAGTTGCCCAGGTGACCTCAGCAAGAGGACCTTGGCAGCCACGTTCCCACAGGATCGTGAGAAATAGTAAGTTTACCAGCTGGGGGTGTCTCTTACATGGTGGCAGGTCTCTGCGGCGTGGAGACAAGCTGCTGGGGGGACGGAGCTCAGCGCACTACGGTGGACAGTGACCCCCCATCTGGAGAATTTCTGTGTGTCAACACGAGAAAGGTCTGGAAATACCGTGCTGAGTTCGGATTGAAGGGGTGATCAAAAGGGGATGTCAGCCCACTGTTTTAATATTTTATAGGAAGAAATTTAATATTTAATATCTTACATTTCACATTATATTGAAGTTTTAATATTTCACAAGGAGAAGCAGAAGTGGAGAGAAATGAGGAGAGGTGGCTGAGGCTGGATCCCCGCCCGCCCCGCCCCTCCGCCGGGGTGTAAATCCCTGGTTCCACCTGGCTCGCCGCCCGAGCCACCCCACCTTCGGGAGGCTGCCCACTGACCCCTGTCCAGACCCCCCTCCAAGTCCCCGCCCGCCATCAGCCAGGGCCTCAAACACCAAGCGGGCTGTGGCCACTAGACCGGGCCAGCCCTGCTGCCCGTGCACACAGTGTCCACCACCCACGGCTCCCGGCTTAGAGGCCTCAGGCGCCGTCTTCAGACGCCCGGCTCTGGGAGATGCTACCAGGGCCCCAGCTCAAGCCCAGGCAGCACCCATGGCAGATCCCAGTCTTCCAAAGGCGTGGGATCCAGATGCTTCCGACGGTCAGCCCTGCTCCTCACCCCCACCCCACCCCCCAGCGGCCTTGTCCCCAAAATAGCCCTTGTGACAGCTAATACACGCCTTAGCCCTCCGGCAAGTCCTTTGAGTGTCCCCTGCTCAGGCAAGGTACTGGTGCCGTCACACAGCTGGATTCCAACCCGGCACCTTCAGTTCACCTCGCCCCACCCCTTCCTGTGTTTTAAAGCCCCCAGACTAAGTGCCATTTCTAATAAGTGGGGAAACAGGCCCAACGCTCCTGGGGCGGGGGGAGGCGCTCCTGACCCTGAGAACTAGGAGGGAACAACCCCTTGCTGTCACAACCCAGGTCTGTTTCTGCCAAGAACAGCCGAGGGGAGACCTCACGTCAACCCCCGAGCACCCTCAGAAGGACCCTAATATGCCAATGTCAAGTCGCCTAGAACCTAGAACCTTCTGCTATGGAGCCCTGAGCCTCCCAGAGCAGCTTTGGGCTTGTTGCCGTCTGTCCCTGGGTTCCCGCGTCCTGCCCTCGTCAGTGACTCAAGAGTTCGGGCAGGACTCAAAAGAGGACGTGGAGAGGGAAGGAAGGGGCCTTTGGAGACAGGGAATCTTTGAAAATGGGAGGAGGGACGGTGTCTTGGATCCTTGGGGTGGGGGGGCCCTGGGATGTCTGGCCCACTACTTCCCTCTACCCTCAACAGGCCCCTCCCCGGCACCCACAGTCCCCACTGTCTGCAGAAACAGGCCTGTCTCCCCATCAGACTTGGAGTTTGGTGGGGGGCTTGTCTGAGGCTCAGTAAACATACACTCCCCAATCGGGGCGCCTGGCCCTCTCCCAGGCTTCCTACTTCCCTCAGGACCAGCCTGTGGGCGCGCCATGCTGGACGCTGGGATCCTCCTCAACGTTCCCCCACTTGGGGCCCAAAACCTTGGAGCCTTGATTCCCTCCTCCTCGTCTCACCTTGCGTTCAGCAGCAGCAGCAGATGCTGACACTCGACCTTCAGGATCCGCCTCAGCACAGCCTCGCGGACTGGCGGCCGGAGCCCCCTCCAGCTGGCGCGCGGGGCCGCGGGCTGAGCCCTGACGGGGACAGCACCTGAAAGATCATGAGGACGGGCGGTCCTTGGAAAGCACAAGGGTCCCCAGCAAAACACATGCAGCACGAACCCCGCGTGTGCGAGGGCTCGTCCACACATGGAGTGGGGCCTGCGCCGGCGGCAGGCAGGAAGGCCCGGGGGTTGTCCCCACCCTGACAGGGTAAAGGAGAGGCCGCGGGCCATGGATCGCAGCAGGAGGGGCCCTGACAGCGCTCAGCCCCGTGCAGAACCCCGGACCAGGAGCAGAAGGGAATCGCCTCAAGAGGCACCAACCTCGCTGAGGGGTGGAAGACGGGACGCTTCCTCCCGTGGATCAGGAAGGAGGCGCAGGTGCCCGCGACCCCCGTGTCCAGCGTGTCCCGGAGACGCTAGTCAGTGCCGCGGGGCGGAAGCACAAACCCCATGATCAGCATCAGGAAGAGCTAAAACCGCCTCCATCGGCGAAGTCTGAGTCTAGGGCCGCTCTGTTTCCTTCCTGAGATCACCTGCCGCGGTTGGGAGCAGAGCGAACGACCAGGTACCTCACCTGGAGCCTGGCCTCTGCCTCCCTGACCTTCCTGCCTCCCTCCAAGCCCCCCACAGTTTGCAGCTGCAGCTCAGGTCACACAGCACCCCTCAGTGTCTTCCCATCACCTGGGAGCAAACGCTAAACTGGTCCCCGGTGGCTGCAGGTCCCCCTCCCCCGGCCCCCACCTCTGCTGAATTCCTTCTGCTCCAGCCAAATCACAAGGCTTCCCCGTGGCCCCTCGGGGCACAGGGCTTGTCCCAGCGGCCAGGGCCTTTGCACCCCACTGACCACTCCAGATCCTTTTCCTCCCACACGTCCACAGGCCTCACGCCTCACTTACCCCAGGCTGGCACTCAGCCAGAGGCACCCTGTCTCCTCGCGGCTCCGTGAAATCAGCGCTGAAGTGGAGCCCCGGGCCGCCATTCTCCCAAAGCAGGCCCTTTCCTGATTGCCTCATCTCCGCGTTTTATCCACACCCACGGCCCCAATCTCCATCTCAACCATCCTCTCTGTTTTCTGTCCACATCTCCCCCACGACATCTGTCTGGTTAACACAGTCACCAGCTCAGATGCGGGAACCCCGGGACAGGTGAGTGAATGAATCCAGAAGTGACTAGTTTTTCAACACACGTGTGGCAAAGGGAGAGAGACAGGACCGAGAACACATGTGTGCAGAGACCAGCTGCCATGAATAGGCCTTAATTTGGGTCCTGATTTGAAGAGTGTGA